TTGACAGATTTGATGAGGTATCGAGTACAGGATAATTTCTTGAGCTTAGATTATGCTTTGGGCAGGACAGGTCTGGGTGAGGCATGGTAATGGGAGGCACAGGGTTTCTGAGGCATGATGGGACATTAGGAGGGGACAATTAAATAAGGAAGCATTTCCAAGACAATAGATTCAACTTTAATCTACCCTAAGGCCAGCATGGTAGAATAGCTGTTCTGGGACAACTGGTGCCTTCAGATTATTCCCACTGAAGGCAGGAGGTCACCAGGACATCCAGACCAACCAAACCATAGTGTTATCTTGGGGATAATTGAGCATCAATATACAGATATCATTTTGGACAGCCGTTCCAAGAAACCCATAGCAGTGTTTGCATCTAAATGAGGGGAAATGAGGGGGAGTAGGTTGGTGGGTGGGTCTATAGAGCTTTACTTTCCTCTTTATAACTTTTTCTAAAGTTTTAATTTTTTTCCTCTGAGACTGCATTGGTTTTATAATCACAAAATTAAAAATAATAAAAATCATTATCTCTTTTAGAATTTACTATATTAAAATTCTAGCCAGACAGAAAATGAATATTAAAGTAACTGTAATAAAATAGTAGAGGGATTTCACAACAGAGTTAAAATTAATATATTATTATGAGGAAAAAACCCCTTGCATTTGTAAAACACGGTTTTCATGCATATTTTTCAGTCTTCCCTGAAGGATGTTACTCAGCCTTCTTTAGACAAAATAACACTCAGGACATGCATGGGGACCTGGTCCTAGAATACAGATCCTCTCAGACAAGCTTCTCTAACATATTGGCCCCTGTACTACTCATCCCACTCTCTTTGTGATGTACTTTCTCTCTCTCTCTCTCTCTCTCTCTCTCTCTCTCTCTCTCATTACCAGCTTAGACTTCTGTCTCTCTGAGTGTTTTGAATTCAGACACCTCAAAAGAGGAACTGATTTTTCCCTATGCAGCATTCAGGGTAGGAATAGTTACCTGAGCTTCTAAATTTCCTTGTGCCATAAAATGCAATCACCTGTGGACATGTATGTGTAAATGCCATCTGATCTTTCCATCCTGAAAGTTTCTAACACATATTTCCTGTATTTAAGAAAAAAAAATCCAAATACCAATTCCTTTCACTTGCAGTGCACTGAGTAAATTTTCAAGTTCTTATATGCACCCTCCTGGTTCATCTCTAGCAGAGAGCAACTGTCGTTGAGCTTGTCTCCCATAATAAAAGGCTGTTTAAATCATAATTACAGGTAGGGAAAGAGGTTTTGCACCACAGGCAGGAAGGTATTATGATCTATGGCTCTTGGGGAGTAAGTAGAAGGTTCCCCGACTATTGTCTGCTTCTTTAACAGCATACCTTGTTTAGTCTAGAAGACCCTGAGCGAGTAAGGCACCGTGGTTTTACCTGCACGCTAGCCAAACTTGTGCTTTTCATAACTGGACTTTGTGCAAGAGAAGAATGGTGCAGAGGTGCAGTTATACCAGAGTTGCATCAAACAGTTTCGTTCCCCCACCCCCATCTCCCATAACTCAGGGTTTGGGAGAACTTCAGATGTGGAGCTGTGGGGAAGACCACAGAGACTGTCCAGACATCTTATGGCTCTGTGGCTTTTGTCACTGTTGTCACAAATTAATGCTTGTCTGATTTCCCCTTGATTGCAATGTTACAATCTCCCTTCCCAACCTTACGGGAGTAATTTGTTTCTGAAACTTCACCCAAGCAGACTTCTTGTAGGTAAAAGATAGAATTTCCATTGAAATTAACAATAATACTTTAGAAAATTAACAATGTCTAATGTAATTTAATTTTCATAAAGAGGCCTATTTAGCTACTGAAAAATATGCTCTTTCCCTTCTATAGATGAGGCCTGCATCCTGATATGCAATGTGGAAAGGGGAGGGATCTTGAGAGGTCACTGCCCAGACCCAAGCTCTATTTCTCGGCCCTATTGCCATGTGTGACTTCTTGCCAACACAAATGAGTCAACATGTATCACTTCTGGGCTGGAGTTTTAAGAAGCAGATGTGCATATTCCAATGTACTGTGCTTTTCTCACGGATTCTACTCGAGTACACTGGGGCTTCAGGACATGGTGGAGCCTCGAGATCTAAGAAGCCTGGATCCCTGTCAACCAAGAACATCTCCAGTGAACTATTACATAGCAGGGAGAAAACCTGTATTGAGCCAGGCCCCTGAAATTTTAAGTTTATTATTCTCCTTCCTCGAGGGTCAGAAAACTTTCTTTGTAAATAACCAGATAATGAATATTTTAGCTTCTGTGGGCCACGTAGAGTTTCTGCCTCCTCTACTTCCACTTCCTTCTTTTTATAACCATAAAAAGTATAAAAACTACTCTTAGCTCATAGGTTATACAAAAACAGCTGGAGGCTTAACTAATATAAACTTTTAATACAAAACAGCAACAACAGCAACAAAGGATTCTGCAGTCATTGCCATCTGTGCCATTAACTAGCAGGCCCTGAGGACTTGGGGAGAAGAGCTTTAGGCCCCTGGGCCAACCTTTTCGTGGTGGAGATGGTGCATTGTGGCTCTCCCTCTGCGCTCAGGTGCTTCCAAGTCACTGCTCTTCGGATTGGTTCTCGTAAAGGCCAGAATGACTCAAAAGCTGAGGTAGTGCATCAAGCTGCTAGAAAAGTTAAACTCCTACAACTGCTAGGGGGCACTTCAGAGTATAACTATGTTACTGCTTCCCTCCCACCCCCTCGGCTTTATCAGCAGCACAGTTGACACTGTTGTTTGGACCCAGGCCAGAGCTAGATTCAACTCAGCAGCTCAAGATCAACCAGTGAGTCTTGAAGCACGACATGGTTGAGACTGCAGGAGGGCGTCTATGTTTCCCGGACCCCGCCACCACACAATCACCAGGGTTTCCAGGCAGGATGGTGATGCTGTCAGCCCTGGCACCTTCTGTTCCACCCAAACCTTTGTCTCAGTCAGCACAGAACTCAAGACCACCCAAAACTTCTGGGAAAGTCATTATTCAACAACAGAATGGATAAATAAATGATAGACTCTCCTGCGGCAGCTGCAGTGGAAATTTTGAAGAATTTATAATGGGGAAAAGCTTATGAGAGTGTTAAGTGAAAAGAGCAGAATTGCAAATTACACACTCAGTGTGACCCTCATTGTCTAAAAACATAGCTACTTTAAAAACTAACAATGTCTTGAAGTAGATATACCAATGTGTTAACAGTAGTATATCTGGATGGTAGATTAAGAGTGATTTTTTAAAAGCATTCCATTCTATGTATTTTGGAAGTAAGGACAAATGATCTGTGCTGTGTGTGTGTGTGTGTGTGTGTGTGTGTGTTTTGTTTTATGATCAAGAAATTTACAAGTATCTCTTCCTGCACAGTGGAGGGAGAGCCCTGCTGTACAGAGTGAGTTCCCAGCCTCAGTGCCTCTGCTCAGAGAGGAATGTGGGTGATCCTGAGGTTCACATTTAGAATAGGAGCAGAAAAGGGAAGAGGAGAGCTAACCGCAAGGGGGTGAGCACACTTCTTTGGAGGAAACCAGGAGACTGGGAGCAACCTGTTTGCCGTGATCTGTTCTCCTGGGCCTGCAGGTATTCGACTCTTTTTAGGCCCAGTGTCTTACCTCAGGGTACAACCCTACACTCCTTCCTCGCTGTTGCCTATCTGCTCTTAAGGCCATGGCACTGGAATCAAAGCAATCAAGGTTCAGGTACAGACTGTGCCTGACCTCCTCTCTCACCCTTCCCAAGTGGGCGTGGAAGCAGATGGCTCCCACACTGTGCTCATGGCCCCACCCCAAGGCCAGGTCCTTTCTCCTGCCTCTCATCTTTCTCAAGTGACTATGTGGTGCTGTTCTGTGACTGTCCCCACATAGTTCGTCATTGCCTTTGCTCGTGCACATGTGCTCCTGGAAAACAGTGTTGGTTCTCTGCTGGACACGTGGCTGAGCACAGAATTCATTCATTTGGCCAGTTAACAAATGACCCCTCTGCTTGTGTAATTACATCGCTCTAGGTGCCAGAGGCACAAGAGACACCATGTAGAAGGGTTCCTCTGTCTTGGAGCTGACTTTCTATTGAGAGAGTAAATAAAGATAGATATGATGTTGAGTCATGCTGTGCTGTGAAAAGAAATACAGACTGAAGAAGGAGCTAGGGACATGGGTGGAAGGTGCCTTTAAGCAGACTTATCAGAGGAAGTTTCTCTGGGGAAGGTTATTTTCAGCAGAAACTGTGATTAGTGAGGGAAAGAACCAAGTGTGGGGACAAGTGTGCTGGCTAAGAGAACAGGAAGCCCAAAGGTCCTGAGTCAGGAACAAGTGTGTTTCCGTTGCAGTGAGAGACACGGATGTGTAAACAGGTAATTGTGACACCGGGTGACAGACACTTACCACTCAGCATGTATAACTAACATTTATAAATATAGATTATTTAGTGTCTGCGTCCCCTGATAGAAAATAAACTGCATGAGGGCAGAATGTTTGCATTTCTTTGCTCATCACAGTGTCTCCAGGACCTAAGACAGCTACATGCCCACAGCATGATGGATATTGTGCGAATGGAGCCAAGTATTCCACCCTGTCCCTCTGATACTGGTTCTGCTGTCCAGAGGCCACCAGTGTTATTAGGCCCTGGGAGGAGTGTGTTATTTAAAGAGACCACCACACTCTCTCTCCACCTAGTTTTGGCTTTGGGATTCAGGCGAGTCTCTGAATGTCCTAGAACTAGGGAATTCTGCTTACCCAGGAGGTGGAGGGTGCTCTGTACCAGACTTCATGTTGGCTGTGATCCACACTCATTCTCCAAGAATCACAAGGTCCCTGGTGGCTTTCTTGATCATGGGCTATATTTGGAAGTTTCTCCCTAAGGCCCATGTGTTAAAGGCTCATGATGCTGTTGAGTTGGGGCCTAGTGGAGGGAAGTTTGGTTGTTGGGGCATGCCTTTGAAGGAGATTTTGGGACCCCAACCCCATTGTTTTCTATTTGCTTTCCAGCTTCCATGAGATGAGAAGCTTTGCTCCATCACATGCTCCACACCTTCAAGTTCTGCCTGGCCACTGGCCCAGAAATGGACGACAAACCATGGACTCTCACACAGTAAACAAAAAATAAGAATTTTCTCCTTTAGGAAGATTTATCTTGGATGGGTCGTGGCAATGCATCTCTATAATCCCAGCAGCTCAGGAGGCTGAGACAGGAAGACTGCAAGTTCAAAGCCAGCCTCAACAATTTTGTAAGGCCCTAAGCAGCTAAGTGAGACCCTGTCTCTAAATAAAAAACAAAAAGGTCTGGGATGTGGCTCAGTGGCTAAGTGCCCCTGTATTCAATTCCTGGGACCAAAAAGAAAAAAAAAAGAGAGTTATCTCAGGCATTGTGTTCCAGCAATGGAAAGCTGCTGAACACATCATGCCAGGAAGGAGCTGTGAACGTAGGCTTTTGTGAACACTTGGTATTTAGGAAAATATACACCTGTTGTCTTATATAATGAGGCCCATCCCTTCAGTGCATGGCCACATCTTTACAGGCCAGGGAACTGGCAGCAAATATTCTGTCTGCGAACCGGTCCGTGAATGTGTAAAACCAGAGCTTTCACAAGTGTCAATAGCCTTTGCTTTTGTGTTGGACTGATACATATAACCATTGAGCAAGACCCTGATCAAGGACCAAGTTGTAGAGGCAGGGGACCTTCTTCCCATCTCAGAAGAGATGTGTTTTTCATAAATACTCAAGTAACAGATCACCTGTGGTGAGCCGTGTTTGTAGACCGTTGCCGCCATTAGAAGATGGCGCCGGTCTCCGTTGTGGATCTTGGTAAACAACTCCTTATTAGGAAAAGTTGGTGCGCTGTCCCTCAACACCCTATGAGAAAACCCCGCGTGGCAGCTTTGGATTGGACTAGAGTAAGCTTTATTAGGCTGGGTGTGGGTGTGTGAGAGGAGCGCGCTTGAGAGAAAGCTAGAGTTAAGGCCTGAATAAACCGCTGAAAGAAGAATCCTGTGTCGTGTCTTCCTTGCTGGCGAGGGGGTCGCGACAATTGGTGGCCCGCACCGGGAACCGAATACCTCTCAATCCCAGGATCCAGAACTTTCAGCGGTCAGGGTGGTGCACCGGTAAGTTCCCAGGTAAGTGGGAATCCGCGGAAAAATTAGCGGGTCGCTCCTCTGTAAGAAGAGAGAGCGGGGATTTTTTGGACTTTCGCTTTATTTCTTTGCTTTCGCTTTCTGCATTAACGCAATGGGCGCCTCTGCTTCTAGCCCTATTCTGTTAGCCCTGGATGGACTGCTACGATCTAAAGGTTTAAAAGTTAAACAGAGTACTTTGCAGATGTTCTTAAAACAAGTAGACCTAGCGGCCCCGTGGTTTGCTTACTCGGGCAGTCTCACGACCCCCAGCTGGGAAAAACTAGGTAAGGATTTAGATTTTGCACACGAACAAGGGACCCTCGAAGGTGGGGTGATTCCTTTATGGAAGTTAGTAAGGGGTTGTTTATCTGACAGTAGATGTCAGGATGCCCTAACCAAAGGACAGGAGGTTCTTGAACAATTGCATGAGGAGAGGTCCGAGGGAGCTGAGAGTATTAAGAGTGGGGGGAGTGATAGAGATGATAAACGTTCAAGCCAGCCAAAGACTAGACTTTATCCAGATTTGACTGAATTGAAAGCCTTTGAGGAAGACAGTAGTTCAGACAATGAGGAAGTATTGGAATTGCTATCACGGCAAGCTAGAGAGAAAAGGGGAAAAGGTGAAACTAAAGGGCGAGGTGATCCCCGTAAGGCTGTCTACACAGAACAGAAGTACCCAGAGACAGATGTGGGATATGAGGAAGAGGGGGAGGATGCTGTGGAGGTTCCTCCTGACCCTCCACCCTATCCTAACCCAGGACTCAATAGGATGTTTCATGCGCAAACTTGGAGAAAGGTTCATTCGGACATGGGTCTAGCATTCCCTGTGTTTCAAGATGCCAATCGGGGGCGATATCATGAACCCCTTGACTTTAAAATTGTCAAGACATTGGCTGAATCAGTCCGAACCTATGGTGTGGATGCTGCATTTACACTTACCCAGGTGGAGGGCCTTTCTCACTTTTGCATGACTCCGTCTGATTGGGCGAGCCTGGTGCGCGCCTGTGTTTCTCCAGGAAAGTATCTGGATTGGAGAGCATTTATGTTAGAGGGGGTCGTGACAATCACCCACACAGTGTATTTGGGGAGTCAAACTGAATTTTCTATAATTTCCTTTATAGGAAAAGCAAGACCTAAATTTTATAAGTATCACAAAAGGAAGAAATTAATAATTATTGAATATGCATTATTCTTGATAGACTAAGTAGAATACTATGGTCCAGAAAGCTTAAATGTGCCCAAGACCACACAGCTCGTTAGAGTTGCTTAATTAGTTTTAGAAAATTAGAGAATTAGAGCAGAATTTCTTGCCTCCAAGCAAATAACACTAAAAGGGGCTTTATTCTGATGCTCACAAATTCCCATTTAGGTTTCCTCTGTCTCTATAAATCTCTTGGATGAAATTACTTCATCTTTGGCTTCTGAGTACCTATAACAAAGCCTAGCACATCATAAGCTCAAGAAAAGTTCGTTAATAAACAGAAGCAAAAAACTTAATTTGTCATTAGCACTTCGTGTGAATTAGAATTAAGTCTCAATGGTAACTTTTCCTTTAATGGGAATAGCATATGCACTAATTTTAATGGTTACCATGACTTAACAGTAACTGAATTCTTGTATTTGCTCAATGCATAATCTCTGGAGTTATCTTTGACCCTTCTCCTCTTGCATCTTACGTCCAATATGCCATCAAATGTTATTGATTTTACCTGCAGGGGATGTCCCATTTGACCAATTCTTGCCTCTTGTCCTGCTACCAGGGGCAAGCCATACTCACTTCTACCTGGATTGCAGGCACAGCTTTCTATGGAACTCTGAGTCTTTGCACTTGCCCCTCCAGTGTTTCCCAAACAGCAGCCAGAGTGAATCCCAAATGAATGCAAATCAGATCATATGGGTCTTATAGGATTCTCACCCCCACCCCCCCATCCTGGGGCTTCTCTGACCCCATTAGTGCTGTCTTCCCTCTTTGGTGTTTTGACTGAGTAAAGAAATTTGTATTAGTTTCAGTTTTATTCTTGCCGAATACTATTACTTTGAGTTTGCTTAGATCCTGTGAAATCATTAGTTTATAATGGTTATGCTTACTAGCTATAGTTTCATTTAATTCACTGGATTTCACTCTGACTGCACATAAGAAGCTCCTGGGGAGTTCTAAATAGACACCTATGTCTAGGTCTCATTTCTAAAAATTCGAACTAATTGGACCTGGAAAGTGGAGATCTGTTTAGTGTCAGTATTTTTTTTAAAACCTCTTTATTGCAGTAAAATTAATATACTAAAACTACATACAAAGTATACAATTTGATGGGTTTGGACAACTGCACACAGTCATGAAAATCCACCACCACAATCAAGGTAATAAGCACATCTATCACCTGCGAAAGTTTCCTCGTGCCATTTATGTATTTCTTTATGTAGGTAAGAACATTTGAAATGAGATCTACCCTTTTAACAGATTTTAAAACTGCTTTATTAAAGTACAGCTGATATATGAAAAGCTATAGATATTTAATGCATAAAACTTGAACAACAGTATTTTTTCCCCAAGAACTCCCCAGGGGTACCTCTGTGTAGTTGGAACTGAGAGGCACTGTTTACTCCTTGCAAAATAATCTCCTGATAAGATTCTGATCATGAACTTCAACAAAATCATCAACAATATATATTGATAACCCTATTTTAAGCTCTGGGATGGCAGAGACCTCACATGTCTTTTGCACAGTTACGGCTTTAGGATGTAGTGTGGTGCCTGATGTAAGATTATTGCTCAATAAATATTTGGTCAATGAACAAGGGACTAAGCATTAAAGGCTCACACACCTTGCCAAAGGTCATACAACTAGTAAGTGACAAGAATTCTAATCTGCACCTATCTCCAAAGCCAACACTCTAAGCATTATTCTGTATTTCTAGACCCTTATCCTGAGAAGAAGATAAGAGGCCAGGGTAAGATGAGGAGATTGGTGACATTGAAGACAGATATTTTTCCCATTTCATAATTGCTGGGGTTTTGACAAAAATAATGTTTCTTTGTTAAAATGAATTGGAATTAATATTGAAGATATCCAGGAATATTTGGTGAGACCATAGCTATTAAGCTATTATGATGAGACCATAGCTATTATTAATAAAATAAATTGAGTTGAAGGAGAGGACTAGTGATTTTTTCCCCTTCTATTAGACAGACCCATATTGTATTTTAGGGCCAAAACAAAACATTCTGCCAAGATTCTGTTTCATAGTAGTTGAACCACAGATCATTTCTAAAACAGCATAAATCTGTGTTTCCTGAGATGAAAGTGTATGCCGCAGACCACAGGTTGACATTTCATATGTTATAATGTGGTTAGCTTATGCTTTCAAAGTTTGTCTTAAAGATAGGGCTTGCATAACACTACGTGAGTGAGTATGTGAGTGTGGATGAGCCAGAGCCTCAACCTTGGACTTCTAGCCTCCAGAACTGTGTTATTTTAGCTACCTAGTCTATGGTATACAGCTGGATGGCCCTCGCCGACTAATAACATCTTTGGAAGAGATTAGGGGCTGTAAAGACATACAAATATATATTTCTGTCAAATTTGCCTGTCTCTTCTACTTACCAAAGCCTTTTGCTGAGGTTCATTATCAGAACCTTAAATGGAAAACAACTTCAGAAACCAGCATGGAATTTATATTAAACCATTTTTCTAAAAAAACCAGATGATTGCCATCTATGAGTTAACCTTTTTGAATGGAGTTAGAATATTCCAGAAAGGTAATAACCCAGCAGGCCCATGGAAAACTTCGGATTGATTCCCTCCCATGGATAAATGTGTACTTGGTAGGCCACGAGGACTTTTTCAATAATTAGTTTAAAATAATATAGTGCTTTTTATTCATGCTTAATGACATCCATCAAAACTGCTTAATTTGCTTTAACTTTATTAATTTACTTTAACCTTCTTTGTGAATATATTTTATTCTTTTGTAGTTCTGCATCTGAGTTTCCGATCTTTTATTTTTTCATGGTTGGGAATCAGTTTAAAATAATGGTTAAGAACTCAGGCTTTGTGAGGGTTTCTGCTTTGGGGGAGGTTGGAGAAGGACATGAAAGACCTTCTCTCCCAAGGAAAAAGAAAGAAAAACAACAACAACAAATGTATTTTCTATGGGGCTAACAAAGGCCAGTGTTCACACAAGGAAGCCTTGATTAACTGAATTCCAGAGAGAAAGAGCCCTTTATAAATGAGCAGAGAGCCAAGGCTGCTTCTATACTTGGGACAGCTTCCTGGTCTAGCTAAGGGTAGGTCTGACAGAGAAACTTCACAGGGTCAAGGGGAAATGAGCAGGGCCTTGGGCCAAGTGGGCTGTCAGGATAAATTAGAGTCTAAAGAAGCCCCAGATGGTGGGGCAGATTACTGGGGCTCAGCAATGATTTCCCCTGGCCCTCCTGCACCATGAATTTTGCTAAGGAGGTAGCAGTGAAGGAAGGGCTGGTCAGCAGAGAGAAAGTGCTTAGTCCTATGCATTCCTGTGGTGTTTGGATTCCAGAGCCCTTCCTGGAAAGGTATCCAAAGATGAACCCAAAATAGCCAAGGTTCCCCCAGTTCAGCTACTAAAAACACCCCAAAGAGCTGTGACCTGGGAAATTGAGAAGTGTGCTAATCACACATGATTTCCATCTTAATAAAACTATAACAGGGTGGGAAGAATCCAAGATGGCGGGCTAGAGGGAGGCTGCATTCTGGGTTGCTCCACGATATAAGATTCTGGTAGTGGGAATACTGTTTCTTTACTAGTGATTAGAGGACCACTGACAGCTGCTCCGGTGCAGGAATCATGGCCACTGTGCCCATGCAGGTTTCCAGGCCTCAGCATCAGCAAAACTCCCAACCACTTGCCCAAGCAGGACCTGTGGGTGCCAAGCAGGACCACCGGCATCAGTGCTTATGAAGAGCTCCTGGCCACCCACCCATGCAGGAATCCTGGCTGCAGCTTCCATGCAGGACACCCAGCTGCTGCCCATGTGCAGAAACTCCGGCCGCCACTCCTGTGTGGACCCCCATCTACCAATGGGGGCTGCCCTGGTTGCCTCCATGTTGAGACACTGCAACCACTGCCATAGTCCACTACACATGGTAGCCTGCACCTGGGGACCCTGCACAGGGTTTGGGGACAGCTGCCAGCCACAACACTGCATGCCACAGAGCTGCATCTCTGAACATGCTGTCCACCGCAACTGTCTGGCCCCAGCAGACCCCACCTGACACCCCATGGCTGAAAGGAGCCGCCTTCATCTTGTGATGCCTTCATCGCTCTGTTTAGTTGGGATAATCCCCAGCTTGGAATACCGGCTGGGGTTTAGGAGCAAAATCAAGGTACCTATAGTCCCCAACTTCCCCCTCTCCCTGGCAGCGCTAACCCAGCATCGTGCTAGCGGCTATGCAGCTGGTCCATAGCTCACAAAATCTGGTCCTGAACTGTCCAGTACAAAACAGCTCTCTGCAACAAGTGCACAGCCCCCAAAGCACAGCCCACAAGACCTCCAGAGAGAAAGGTTCCTGACTGGGAAGTTGAAAGGAAGGGGGTGAGTAAGATACAGTTTAGAGACTAAATTAGAGACCAGGAATTGTGAGGTCTACAGGCGATATAAGGAGATAAGACCAGGTGCCCACATCAACGAGTGGGCCCCAAAGGAGATCCTTGGGGTGCAAGGATCAGGGGCCAGCAAGTATTATTCTCCATGTCCAGGAGCTCCACCCCCAAGAACAACCCTCCCACCCTAATAACCTTCGTCTTCCTGAGGGTGGTGATATCAGCAAACAACAGACAACCCTACCTATTGGGTGAGAAGGGAAGCAGGAAAGATACTGATCTTCAACAAAAATAATCTTAGTATTTTTTCCCCTCTTTCTCTCTTCTCCCACCCTCACATCCCCAAGATTTGTGAAACCAAGTGCTTTTCATGAATTAGGCTGCTGAGGACTGAGATGTCTGAATAGTATATTATAGTTGTGTTACATATTTTTTATCTCCTATTTTCATAATAGATATTTTATAAAATATCTCTTATTTTTATATTTTTAATTTTTCTTTCTAGTTCTGTTTGTTTTTTGTACTCTATTGTCTTCCCACTTACTTTTCTCCCCCAAATCATTTTCTCTTTCTTTTCCTGCTACTAACCAAGTTCTTTATATTCCTTTTTCATGCTTTCTAAGATCTAATAACTCTATATAATCATGTCCTACCTCCTCAACATCTCATCCTACACCTCACCCCTGGTTCTTTGCCCACCATCAGAAACTGGAGACCCTTTTGCAAACCTACTCTTTATAGTGTACATAATAATTGAACTTAACTGTTTCTGTATATTGTAACAAAACCATAAACGTCTTAATAGCAGCTATTTGGTTTAAGGTTGTGTATTGTATATATTGGGATCTGTTAATATTGTTCTCCCCCTTAAAGGAGAGGTATTGGAATCCCACAGGGATACTATAAGTCTATAGCTAAAAACTGTAATGCCTCAGATCTGCAGTGCTAGAAGGGAAGACACATGAACAACATGGAAAAACAAGGCAAGAAAGTGCCCCAAACAAACCAAGATACTGCATTATTAGAATCTATGGCCAGCACAACAGAAGAAATTACAGAGAAGTTCAGGATGTACATAATTAAAATAGTCTGTCAATTAAAGGATAATATAATAGACCAAATATAGGCAACAAAAGATGATTTTGATTAAGAGCAACATAAGTTACAGGAAGCAAAAGATTACTTCAATAAGGAGATAGAGGTTCTGAAACAAAACAAAACAGAAATCCCTGAAATGAAAGAAAGAAACAAACAACAACAACAACAATAACAAAACAAGTTAAAAATTCAATAGAAAGCACGACTAACAGATTAGACCAGTTGGAAGACAGGACCTCAGACAATGAAGATAAAATATGTAATTCTGAAAAGAATTTTGACCATGCAGTGAAGATGGTAAGAAACCATGAGCAGAACATTCAAGAATTATGGGATAACATAAAAATACCAAATTTAAGAATTGTAGGGATAGAGGAAGGCATGGAGTTCCAAACCAAAGGAATGAACAATCTTTTCAATGAAATAATAGCACAAATTTTTCCAAACATGAGGAATGAATTGGAAAATCAATTTACAAGAGGCTTACAGGACATCAAATGTACAAAATCACAACTGACCCACACCAAGGCACATTATAATGAAAATGCCTAGCATACAGAATAAGGAGAAAATTTTAAAAGCCACAAGAGAAAGGAATCAGATTACATATTGGGGAAAACCAATTAAAATATGTGCAGATTTTTCAACCCAGACCCTGAAACCTAGAGGATCCTGGAACAACATATACCAAGCTCTGAAAGAAAACTGATGCCAACCAAGAATCTTTTTTTTTTTAATATGTATTTTTTTAGTTGTAGGTGGACACAATATCTTTATTTTTATGTGGTGCTGAGGCGTGAACCCAGTGCCTCACATGTGCCATGTGAGTGTACTACCACTGAACCCCAGCCCCAGCCCATGAGCCCCAGCCCCAGCCCCCAAGAATCTTATATCCAGCAATATTAAGCTTTAAATTTGATGGCAAAATAAAAACCTCCCATGATAATCAAGAGTTAAAAGGATTTACATTACTAGAAAGCCTGCACTACAGAACATCCTTGGCAAAATAGTCCAAGAGGAGGAAATGAAAAACAACAATGAAAATCAGCAAAGGGGGGGTATAACACTAAAGGAAAAACCAATCAAAGGAGAAACCAAGTCAAGTTAAATGACAAAAATTAACTAAAATGACCAGGAAAACAAATAATTTCTCAGTAATAACCCTGAATATTAATGGCCTAAACTCACCAATCAAAAGACATAGACTACGAATGGATAAAAAAATGTGGCATTTATACACAATGGAGTATTACTCTGCATTAAAAAATGACAAAATCATAGAATTTGCAGGGAAATGGATGGCATTAGAGCAGATTATGCTAAGTGAAGCTAGCCAATCCCTAAAAAACAAATGCCAAATGTCTTCTTTGATATAAGGAGAGTAACTAAGAACAGCGTAGGGTCGAAGAGCATGAGAAGAAGATTAACATTAAACAGGGATGAGAGGTGGGAGGGGAAGGGAGAGAGAACGGAAATTGCATGGAAATGGAAGGAGACCCTCAGGGTTATACAAAAGTACATACAAGAGGAAGTGAGGGGAAAGGGAAAAATAATACAAGGGGGACCAATGAATGACAGTAAAGGGGGCAAAGAGAGAAGAGGGGAGGGGAGGGGAGGGGGGATAGTAGAAGATAGGAAAGGCAGCAGAACACAACAGACACTAGTATGGCAATATGTAAATCAATGGATGTGTAAATGATGTGATTCTGCAATCTGTATATGGGGTAAAAATGGGAGCTCATAACCCACTTGAATCAAAGTGTGAAATATGATATATCAAGAACTATGTAATGTTTTGAACAACCAACAATAAAAAATAAAAAAAAAGAAAAAAAAAGACATAGACTGGCAGATTGGATTAAAAAAAAGACCCAACAATATGCTGCCTCCAAGAGAGACTCATCTCATAGGAAAAGACATCCACAGATTGAAGGTGAAAGGTTGGGAAAAAATACCACTCACATGGACTGCATAAATAAGCAGAAGTTTCCATCCTTATATCAAATAAAGTAGATTTTAAGTCAAAGTTAATCAAAGGGGATAAAGCAGGACATTTCATACTGCTTATGGGAACCATACATCAACAAGACATAACAATTATAAATATATAAGCCCCAAACAATGCAGCCGCTATGTTCATTAAACAAACTCTTCTCAAGTTCAAGAGTTAAACAGACCACAACACGATAATTTGGGTGACTTTAACACACCTCTTTCACCACTGGATAGATCTTTCAAACAAAAGCTAAACAAAGAAACTATAGAACTCAATAATACAATCAATAACTTAGACCTAACAGACATATATAGAATATTTCATCCATCAATGAGTGAATACACTTTCTTCTCAGCAGCACATGGATCCTTCTTTAAAATAGACCATATATTACACCACAAATAAATACAAAAAAGTAGAGACACTAACTGCATTCTATCAGATCATAATGGAATGAAATTAGAAATCAATGATAAAATAAAAAATAAAAGCTACTTCAACACTTGGAGACTAAATAAAATGCTATTGAATGTACAATGGGTTGCAAAAGACATCAAAGAGGAGATTAAAAAATTCTTAGAGGTAAATGAGAACATTGATACAACATATCAAAATCTCTGGGACACTATGAAGGAAGTACTAAGAGGAAAGTTTATTGAATGGAGTTTATTCCTTAAAAGAAGAAAGAGTCAACAAATAAATGACCTAACATTACATCTCAAAGCATTAGAAAAAGAAGAACAAATCAATCCCCAAAGCAGAAGAAGACAGGAAATAATTAAAATCAGAACTGAAATAAATGAAATTGAAACAAAAGAGACAACTGAGAAAATTGACAAAAAGTTGGTTCTTTGAAAAAATAAATAAAATTGATAAACACTTAGCCATGCTAATGAAGAGAAGGAGAGAGAAAACTCAAATTACTAATATTTGTGATGAAAAAGGAAATATGATGGACACTACAGAAATACAGAATATAATTAGAAATTATCTTGAAAATTTATACTCCAATAAAATAGAAAATATCAAAGGCATTGAGAAATTTCTAGAGTCATATGATATGTCCAAACTGAATTAGGATGATATACACAAGTTAAACAGATCAATGTCAAGCAATAAAATCGAAGACACCATCAGAAGCCCAACAACTAAGAAAAGCCCAGGACCAGATGGATACACAGCTGAGTTCTACAAGACCTTCAAAGCAGAACTAATACCAATATTCCTCAAATTATTTCATTAAATAGAAAAAGAGGGAACGCTTCCAAACTCATCCTATGAGGCTAATATCACCCTGATTCCAAAACCAGACAAGGACACATCAAAGAAAAAAAACTTCAGACTAATATCTCTAATGAACATAGATGCAAAAATTCTCAATAAAATTCTGGCAAATCGAATACAAAAACATATAAAAAAAGACAGTGCACCATGAT